AATTCTCGAAAATACACAAACACATGAAAACTTAGCAATATACTCCTTTATGACTTCTTAACTACTGAAGAAACTAAGTCTGAAATCAAAAGATTTATGGGAACAAATGATAATGAGTACATGAGTTTCTATAATCTATGGGACACCACAAAAGCAGTTGTAAGAAGGAAATTTATAGTAATTAGTACACATGAAAAAGATGGAAAGGTGGTGACTAGACAACTTAACATCATGCCTCAGGGAATTGGGGTGGGGGAGGCCAGGAGAAAAGAAATAATAAAGATTTGAGCAGAAATCAATGAAATAGTTGAGCCAGCAGGTGGCATGGTGGTTAAAGGTGCTGGATTCCCACAAAACTGACTACAGTTCAAGTCCTGGACTTGGCGGCTTGCTTTCTTACTTTCTCTCTTCTCTCTCTGGTCAAATTGAAAAATAATGATAATAAATAAACAATTCTTTAAAAAATGAAATAAAAGATAAATTAACTATACAGAAAATAAAGCAAAGGCTGGTTCTTTGAAAGGATTAACAGGATTGACACACCATTAACTAGACTGATTAAGAACAAAGGAGAAGCTAGATAAATCAAATACGTAATGAATCAGGTAATATTGCAGCAGACACAATAGAAATACAAAGCATCATCAGAGAATTCTATGAGCAACTGTATGCGAACAAACAAGGGTACATGGATGAGATGGACAAATTTCTGGATGCATATAATCTACCAAGATTGAATCAAGAGAACATAGCTGAATAGAATCAGTAATAAATAACCTCCCAACAAAGAAAAGCCCAGGTCCTAATGGCTTCACTTCTGAATTATACAAAATTTTAACGGAGAGTTAACCCGCATTCTATTCAAATTATTTCTAAAGATCCAAAAGGAAGGAAACCTTCCAAAATCATTTTATGATACCTCCATCATCCTCATTCCCAAATCAGATAAGCACATGACAAAAAAAGGAAAACTACAGACCAATATCTATGATGAATACATATGCAAAAATTTTCAACAAGGTACTTATAAATCGTATCCAACAACATATAAAAAAGGTTATTCATCATGACCAGGTAGGCTTTATTCTAGGACTACAAGGGTGGTTCAGCATATACAAAACCATAAACATCATATACTATATTAGCAGAGAGATAAAAACCCTATGATCATTTCAATTGATGCAGAAAAAGCATTCGACAAAGTACAACATCCCTTCATGATTAAGACTCTTAGCAAAATTGGCATAATAGGGTCATTTCTCAACACAATAAAAGCCATATATGAAAAACCTATAACTAACATTATTTTGAATGGGGAAAAGCTGAAAGCTTTTTCACTAAAAATTGGTACAAGACAAGGCTACCCACTTTCTCCATTCCTTTTAAATAAAGTACTGGAAGTCCTGGCCAACGCAATTATAAAAGAGAATAATATAAAAGGCATTCAAATAGGCAAAGAAGAGTTGAAAATATCTTTATTTGTAGATGAAATGATGGTATACTTAGAATACTCAAATGTTTCCCCAGTAAACTGGCAGGATATAAAATCAACATTCAAAAATCTATGGCATTTCTGTATTTGAACAGCAAGTGGACAGAAGTAGAACTGGAGAAAGGAATCTCTTTACCATAGCCACAAAATGTACAAAATACCTAGGGATAAACCTAACCAAGGAAGTCAGAGACCTTTACAAGGAAAACTATAAAAATCTTTAAAACGTTATTAAAAAAAGGAAAAAAGAAAAGTAGAAGGACATCTCATGTTACCAGAGTGGAAGAATTAATACAATCAAAATGGCAGTTCTACTCAAATTAATCTACATATTTAATGCAATTCCAGCCGAATTAGCAGAGACATTTTTCACAGATCTAGAAAAGATAATCACAGAATTTGTCTGAATTCATAAAAGACCCTGTATTGCCAAAGCAATTCTGAGCAAGAAGAGTGGAATGAGCGGCATCTCACTCCTTGACCCCAAAATATACTATAAAGCTGTGATAATCAGAATGGCATGATGTTGGCACAGAAACAGCTGGACCAATAGAGTAGAACAGAGCCCCCAGAAATAACCCCAAAACATACAGCCAACTGATTTTTTTTTCTTTTGGAGAGGTTTTTGCTTTAGGGCGCTTGTGCTCGTTAGACAGAGAGACAGAAAGTAAGAATATATCCCCCCCCCGGGGGGGTGGGGGATGGCCACACCACAATCCCTTTTCCTCCATTCTCCTCTCAGGATCTTCGGCACGCACGCACACGTGCCCGGCATGCATTTAAGTCACCAGGTCCGGGACTCAAACAGCGGTTGACTACATGGGAGTCCAGCGACATAGCCATTATGCTAATTGCTGGTCCCACAGCCAACTGGTTTTTGAAAAAGGATATCAGTCAATCCAGTGGGACAAGGAAAACCTCTAGCAATGGTGCTGGAAAAACTGGGTATCCACTTGCAGGAAGAAGATACTGGATCCCTATCTTTCACCATTAACAAACATCAACTCAGAAAGATCAAAGATCTGAACCTAAGACTTCAAAGTAAAACTACAGGTGGAAAACACTGGGGACACTCTGGGAGGCATTGAAGTTAGGCAAAGACTTCTAAAATGAGATCCCCAAAACGCAGGTTAAGAAGTTTCTGAACAGCAAAGGACACAGTAATTAGTGTGAATTGACAACCCTCAGAGTGAGAGAATATTTTTGTAAACTATGCCTCAGAGAAGGGACTGATAACCAGAATACGGAGGGAACTCAACCAGCTTACAAAAAAAAAAAAAAAAAAAAAAGATTAACCCAATTTAAAGATAGGAAAAATGAGCTGAACAAAAATCAGTGGAAGACATATGAACAAAAAGCATATGAGGAGATGCTCAACATCCCTCATCATAAGGGAGATGCAGATTAAAACCACAATGAGATATCACCTAACCTATGTGAGAGTGATGAAGATTAAAAATACAGAAAGAGATGTGTTGCTAGGGTTGTGGTGAAAGGGAAACTCCCCTACACTGTTGGTGGGAATGTAAGTTGGTCCAGTCACTGTGGAAAACAATATGGAGGTTCTTCAGAGACCTACAAATAGAACTACCATTTGATTTAGCAATTCCACCCCTAGGTATCTACCCAAAGGACAAGAGAATACTCAGTTAGGAAAGTGCTGTTTATTGCGGTATTCACGATTGCTAAGGCATGGAACCAACCCAAATGTCCACAAACAGATGAATATATTGAAAATGGCACATATACTCTATTGAATACTATTGCGCCATAAAAAAACAAGACCCTGGCATTAGATATAAAGTGGTTTGATATGGAAGATTTATTGCTGAGTGAAGCAAGCCAGGCTATGAAAGAAAGATATTATATGTCTCCACTGAATGTATACTGACTGTCCACACACTGTGGTAGAGACTGAAAGATTGGAAGACATAAAAGCATTGAAAATAGTTACAGACACTGGAAACAGTATGGAAGGAGGGTGGGAGAGGAAAAGCGTATAGGGAAGAAAATTGGGGGGGGAAATAGACAAGACATTTGTGGGACACAGTAACAGTTTATTTCCTGTTGATGATAATGTGTATAGGCAAATAATAATAATTTTTTAAATTTTTTAAAAAGCCTGCCAAAGCTATTGAGCCAAGTCAGGAACTCATCATCTGACTGTGTCTTTAAGTAACCTATACTTGAAAGGTTTTTTGGTTTTTTTATTTTGGTGGTGGTGAAGGGGTGCTGTCGGGAAGTGCCATCTTTACTTACCTGCGAGGCAGGTCATCGTTATTATTTTCTATGAATAACATTTTAATTTTTAATTCTTTAAAATCTGTTAGTTCTTTTACAAATATCTGATAACTACTATACTTCCAATATTGTGATTGTAAATTTATTTTAAAGATTGATTGGATAATTTCAGCTCTTTGCACACTGTTAGATATAGCAATAAAGTTTTGGGAAATAATGGTACCTGTTTAGTGTTGGAAGATAGATCCATTGTAGTACTTTTCATTAGTATTGAACTTTACTTATTTTTAAAACTTCTCTTCTTTTTTATATAATTATCTACTCTGCTATATTTTTAAGCCTCTGTAATGAAAAGTATCTTTTTCACAATACTCAACGTAAGCTGATAGATAATGATGTAGTGATAGTTGATAAACTTCTTTCTGTAATCCATCTTTTAGAGAACTTCGTACTTTTAAGAAAAGCAAATTTTTTTACTACATTTGTTATATTTGTATTAATAGAGTTAGTGATGTTTGAATCTACTGACCATTTTCTTTTTTAATTAAATATTTTATTGGGACCAGCAGTTGGCGTAATGGCTATGTCACTGGACTCCCATGTAGTTGACCGCAGTTTGAGTCCGGGTCACCCGGTGGCTTAAACTCACCCCGGGCACGTGTGTGTGTGTGTGTGTGTGTGTGTGTGTGTGTGTGTGTGTGTGCCCAAGATCCCGAGAGGAGAATGGGGGAGAAGGGATTGCAGCATGGCCATCACCCCTGCGGGGGTGATTTTTTGCTTTTTGTCTCTCTGTGTCTCTCTGTCTTCCTGGAGAGCACATGCACCCTATAGCAAAAACCTCTCCTCTCAAAAAATTATTTTATTTAACTTTATTTATTTAAATTTGACCAGAGAGGGACAGAGTAAGAGAGTGAGAGAGAGGGAAAGTGATCAAGCAAGCTTCCAGATCCAGGATTCGAAACATGGTCAGCCATGTAGGAGTCCAGTGCCCTTAACTACCATGTCACCTTCTGGTCCCATAACTATTTTATTTTTATTGGTGTAGATTTATCACCTAGATGTCACACTGTAGAACATCGTCTGTATTTGGGGCAGAAAGAAACCATTTCTAAATAAATATCATTTCATTTCATTAAATACTTGATGTAGCATACAGTGTTGCCCAGTTCTTTGAGTATTTGTTAGGGAAGGGTAATTTTGATGAATTCAGACTGTGACATAATAGTTTTACCATGAAACAATAAGTAATCAGATTTTCTTTCTGCAGGCTACTGAGAGTGAGGTAGGAGATGTAGATTTAACACGTCTTCCAGAAGGACCTGTTGATTCTGAGGATGAAGAAGAGGAAGATGAAGAGATTGATCGAACAGATCCATTGCAGGGGCGAGATCTTGTTCGAGAATGTCTTGAAAAAGAGCCTGCAGACAAAACTGATGATGATATTGGTAAGAAATACAATATTGGTAAAAAGTGTCACTTAATTTATATTTAATTACCTACTTCCACATAACAAATTACTCCAAAATTTAATGACTTAAAGCAATATACATTTATCATCTCATAGTTTTTGTTAATCAGGAATTAACAGCTTAGCTAGGTGGTTCTGGCTTAGTATTTCCCCTACTATTGTAATCAGAACATTGTCAGGGCATACAGTCATTTGAGTTTTCACTGGATTCACCTGGAGGACCTTTGTCCAGGATAGCTCCTCACATGGCTCAGTTCCTCGTGTGATTTTTCTCTTCTTGTCCATAAGACATTTAAAACACAATACTACAATGTTCAGTGTGCGTGTGAATTAGCTTTTTTAAATTCTGAGATATTTTTAGAAATCATGCTTATTTTCCTGACATAACTGTGTATTTTTAAGTTTTGGGGTAAAACTTTACAAACTTCATATAATTTCCTTTCAGAAGTATTTACTGTACTTTGATTAGAACATTGACTAATACCAACGTTTTAATGATGGTGATGTTACCTTTAAGGAACAAAGATTATTTATATTTAGTGTCAATTATATATTGTTATGATTCAATTAAGATTTCATACTAGATTTCTATATATTATAGTCATATTGCTGTCTTTCAAATTAGAAGATGCTTCTAATAATCACAATGTTTGTGAGTAAAGATTAATATATATCAACATCTCTTGCCATTCTAAAGATATATAATTAACCTAAAATCTAGACTCATGTTGTGAACATTATTTGGACAGAAAGTAAAAGTACATTTTTAGTTATAAAGTATTATATGCCATTCTATTTTCACAAAGCTATACAAATTTGAAATAATCTTAATAATCTTTAGTTTCATATGGGGATGTGATACCTATATAATCATTTCCATTTTAAGCCCTTAGTTGAATGCTTGCTTACATGTGTTTCTCTTTTATATTTATCTTTATTACTCATTTGTCAGTGAATGACCTGAGGCACCCATGAATATTTGCTAGTTGAATTAATTAGAGTTACCTAGTTGCTTTGAAAATTTTTTTAATGTTAACTTCTTTTTTTTTTTAATAATTATTTTATTCAATTTTATTCATTCATTCATTTATTTTAATTTGACCAGAGAGAGAGAGGAAAGTGAGAAAGCAAGCCGCCAGGTCCAGGACTCGAACCATGGTCAGCCATGTGGGAGTGTCCAGCGCCTTAACCACCATGCCACCTGCCAGTTCCCTGCTTTGAAATTTTTTAGCTAAAATTTATATTTGTCATCCTCGGTTATTTATGGACATTTATTGATAGCATTAAAAAAAAGTAACCCAGTCGGAACTAGAAAAGGCAGACCCAGTGGGGTGGCATGGTGGTTAAGACGGCTAGATCCCACATGGCCAACTATGCAGTTCAAGTCCTAGACCCAACATCTTGAAAAACTTGCTGGACATGTGTGCATGCATGCCCACAATCCTGAGAAGACAACAGAGGAGAAGGGATTGCAGTGTGCCTTTCCCCTCTGGGGGTTGCATTCTCACCTTCTTCCAAGCCCTTCTAGACAAAATTTGAAAAAAAAAAAAAAAAAAAGGAAAGGAAAGAAAGGTTTTTTCACTAATCTTGGAGATGAAAAGAATCACCAAACTTAACCACCATGGAGTGGCATCTCTGACTAGGAAGATGAGATAACCTCCAGCTTCATCTGAACCTGTGTAGTTCTGGTTCTCTGTGGAAGTTGTGAACTCTGCTATCTTCCAATATATTCATATTTATATGTGAGTCTGAATATATGTATAAAAAATGATTTTTTAAAAAAACAGTAGTCATAATGCACTTTGGTTTCCCTACTTTAGCAGCATAAATCATAAATAGGTTAGGAAATCAAGTATTCTAAATTTTGTTATAGCTTTAATATAGTGTTTGATGGTCTCCCTACTAGAACTTCTGTATTTTTCTAGAACAATTACTGGAGTTCATGCACCAGCTCCCTGCTTTTGCAAACATGACCATGTCTGTGAGGAGAGAACTCTGTTCAGTGATGATTTTTGAAGTGGTAGAGCAGGCTGGAGCTATTATTCTTGAAGATGGGCAAGAGGTAGGTTAACAAGCAATTACTACATACTATTTGGAATGGTTACTAATCTTTAGAATAATTTACATAAGCTTACATAAATCCTGGCTTTTGAAATTTATACAATGCTTTAAATGAGTGCTGGGTTTGGAGAAGTTACGATTTTTAAGGAGGTAAGTTTTTGTTTTTGCTTTACCTTGTCTTGATTTTGATTTCCTAGCAATGGGCTTTGTACAAAGTTTGTTGCTCAGTAAATAATAATTGAACTGAATTTGACTGCTCTGTCAGTTGTATAGACAGTGGAATTTGTGTGACTTTCATTTTCTTTTCCACAAGCTTTTATATTAATTTTTCACAGTTCTATTAGTGCAAAATTGGTTGTATACCTACTGTTTGCGAAAGACTGTACTCAGGGATATAATGTTTAAAAGAAAATAAAATACTCAGTCCCGGTCCTCGAATAGTTTATGTAATCCACAAATTCCACAATAACCAAAAAAAGTACACTTAAAAAAATACTTTTCCTGGGGTCAGAAGGTGGCATGGTGGTTCAGGTGATGGACTCACACATGGCAGAGTGCAGTTTGAGTCCCAGACCTGGCAGCTGACATATATAAATATATGTTTACATATATTTATATATACACACATTTTTATATGTATATATACACACCACACACGTGTGAAAAAATTCATACTTTCGCTTGAAAAAAGTAAATACTTTGATATAAATTAAATATAAATGCTACCATATAAATGTATTTTCTTAACATTGGCAGAAATTTCAAATATTTTATTTTCTTAGATATGCCTTAGCATTCAGGTTTTTATTAGTCTTGAATTAATCACTACATAACTTTGGGGGTGGGAGCAATGCTTGCTATGTGCAGGGCATTGTTCTAAGAAGTTAGTATTAACTCTTGTAATTCACATAGTAGTTCCATAATACTGTTGTTACAACTATTTCAGTCATAGGGAAACAGACCCAGAAAAGTTAAATACCTTGCCCAAAAGCACTCAGAGAGGTAGTGACAGGACATGAATTATGATTCCAGTAGTAGGGGCCAGCAGGTGGCATGGCAGTTAAGGGCACTGGACTCCCGCATGGCCGACCGTGGTTCAAGTTACAGACCTGGCAGCTTGTTTTCTCTCTTTCTCTCCCTCGCTTGTCAAATTAAAAAGTAAATTAAAAAAAAATAAAATAAAGTTAACAAAATAATTCTTAAGGAAAAAAAAAGAAGATTCCAGTAGTTTGGGACCAGCAGATGACGTAATGGTTTTATCGCTGGACTCCCACATAGTCGACCACGGTTCAAGTCCTGTACTAAGGGGCTTAAAACTCATGTCGGGCTCTGGTGCATGCATGCCCAAAATCCTGAGAGGACAGTGAAGGAGAAGGGATTGTGACATGATCATTCCCCTGAGAGGTGATTTCTTGCTTTCTGTCTATATGTTTCTCTGTCTCTCCAGTGAGCACATAAGCCCTATAGTAAAAATCACTTAAAAAAAAAAAAAAAGATTCCAATAGTTTGTGTTTTTAATCATTAGACTATTTTGTGTCATAGGATTTATAAAAGTGCCTAATTTCCCTTTGTGTCTAAAAGAAGAAGGAATAAGATACACCTTAGTATGTTCCAGAGACAGGGCATAGAGTGTTGCCGACAGTGTATTTAGTAATATAACCAAATTTATTTTCTCTATTAAATTATGCACATTACATACCATTGATACATTGTTTTTCAGAGTTAATATAACTGTTGTGTGTTTGGTTTTTTTTAAAGATTCTTAAAACTTTGTCTTTCTCTATAGCTTGACTCATGGTATGTTATTTTAAACGGCACTGTAGAAATCAGTCATCCAGATGGAAAAGTTGAAAATCTCTTTATGGGAAATAGTTTTGGAATTACTCCAACTCTGGATAAGCAGTACATGCATGGAATTGCCAGGACTAAAGTAGATGATTGTCAGGTAAGCTTATCTCTTTGGTCAAGTAATCTCAATTATTTGTTGACTTAAAATGCCTGAGCCTGGGACCAGCAAGTGTCATGAAGGTTAAGGCACTGGACTTCCACATGGCCAGCTGGTTTGTTGACTTAAAATGCCTGAGCCTGGGCCCAGCAGGTGGCATGAAGGTTAAGGCACTGGACTTCCACATGGCCAACTGGTTTGAGTCCCAGAGCTGGTGGCCAGAATATCATGCCAGGCATGTCTGCCCAAAACGAGAATGGAGAAGGGATTGTAGTGTGGCCATACCCCTGTGGAGAGATTCTCACTCTCCCTCTTTCTGTCAAGTATACACCCCTCTGGCAAAAACCTGAAGAAGAAGAAAAAAGCTGAGCCTGTTTTTCTTTCTTCCTCAAAATATAACAATTATTTGAGAATTTTAATATCTCACAGCTAATAAAACTAGATTTTATGTTTGCCTCAAATATATGTGGAACTATAAATATTCAAGGGAAAGTTTGTCAAATAAATGCTAGTTTGTTGCATTCCTATCTAATATTAGTCAACTCAGTTTGGGGGGTGGTTTTGTGTGTTCGTCTTTAGGTTTTTTTAACTAAAGGAAAGAAATAGGAACTTCTGAGTTGTTCGTTTCTAACTTACTCCTGCTTCATGTTTTCTTTGCATGGTGTCAGTTCTGAGAGAAGTAAATGTTCACTTCTCCTTTTGGAAGCAGAATTTAAACAGATATGACTTCTTTAGTTTCTCCGTGTGTGAATTGTTTCACCATGATTTTTGTTAATAATTAAAAGAATCAAATGAAAAAGAACTGATGCCACTTGATTTTTTACGTTTGTGCTCTGACTTGGTGCATAGTGATATATTTTTGTACTATAAGTTTATTAATTGTCCTCATGTTGTTCTCGGACAGTTTGTTTGCATAGCCCAACAGGATTATTGGAGAATTTTAAATCATGTGGAAAAAAATACCCATAAAGTTGAGGAAGAGGGTGAAATTGTTATGGTTCATGAGCACCGGGAACTAGACCGGAGTGGAACCAGGAAAGGACATATTGTAATTAAGGTAAGTGACTGTACTTATTATTTTAGTCACTGATAGAATATAGTTTTTGTCCTGCTTTAAAAATGCTTTAAGCTACTTTTTTAGTCATGCAAGGTAATTCACTAACATATTAGAATCTAATTTGATAAAATGTGTTGTCTCTTTTGTCTTTTTTACAAATATTCATGATAAAAAAATTAATGTATTGTTATTTAATACCAGTATGAACAGGATGATATTTTAGAATGTATTGGTCAAAATTTTCTCTCAAACTTATTTTACATTGATGACTAGAGTTGACTTAATTGACCAGCAGTTGGCATAATGGCTATGTCGCTGGACTCCCATGTAGTAGACCACGGTTTGAGTCCTGGACCCGGTGGCTTAAACTCATGCCTGGTGTGTGTGCACACATGCCCAAGATCCCAAGAGGAGAATGGAAGAGAAAGGATTGCGGCATCGCCATCCCCCCAAGGGGTGATTTCTCGCTTTCTGTCTCTCTCTCTTTCTGTCTTTCTGGCGATAGCACATGCCCTATAGCAAAAATCTCTCCAAAAAGAGAAAGAAAAAAAATGTAGAGTGTTTAGGGACCAGCAAGTGGCATGGTGATTAAGGTGCTGGACACTACTACATGGCCGACCATGGTTTGAGTCTTGGACCTGGTGGCTTACTTTTTCACTTTTCCTCTCTCTCTCTCTCTCTCTCTCTCTCCCCCTCTCTCTCTCTCTGTGTGTGTGTGTGTGTGTGTGTGTGTATGTGTCTGGTCAAATTAAAATAAATGAATGAATTGAATAAATAAAATAATTCTCTAAAAAAAGAGAAAAGAATAATACAGTATTTGCTAGATCTCTGTGGCTTTGAAATGAGTGTTGACTTCTCTGAACTTCACTTCTAATCTGAAATTGGAGGTAAAACAACAGGACTTTATTAGGGCAAACTGAGATAAATCAAAAGCCTTAGCAAAATTTATAATTTGAGTATTAATCCATACTGTCTTCCCTTCTCTAAGTCCTGCCCTCTCCTACTCCTCACTTCCCTCCATCTCTTTAAAGATCTTTGTTTGTAAAAATGAGCAGCTATAGTTGAAAGAGGAAATATTTGCCTGTTTCTCTCTTCAAGCTAGTGTTGGTTACAAAAGGGTGGAGAACTTTATTTAATGATATAAGGAAGATAAGACAGAAAAATTATCTGAGAGATGTCTCCCTCCTCCTTCTTTGGGAGACAGGCTATTTCTAGAGCTATTTTTTTCTTTTCCTTAACTGATGAATATAAACTTTTGTATGTAGAAAAGATAAACATATAGGTGAATGAATACATATACTTTTTAAATTTTAATTCATTTTATCTTTTTTGTGGAGACTCATGTTTTTAATAATTCATTTCTAAATAATTTCAACTTATAGAAAAATTACAAGAACAGCAAAGAGGATTTTCTGTTTTGATTTTCCTGTTAATAGTTCACTGTGCTTTCTCCATTATCTTTTTCTCAGCTATTTGAGAGCAATCTGTAAATGTGATGTCTCATCAGCTCTGGATATTCTATTGTTTATTTCCTAAAAATAAGAGCACTCTTCTACATAAACACCATAGAATTTTTCATGTTAGAAAGTAAACTTTACTACAATAAACCATTTACCTAAAGACCCTATTTAGATTTTTATCAAGTGCCCCAGCAATCTTTTGTTTTCATTTCTGGTCCAGGATCTCTTCCAGGAAAATAGTTGCATTTAGCTGTCATGTCACTTTAGTCTATTCCAGTTCCTCAGTCTTTCCCTGCTGTTAATATCTTTAGCAGCTTCAAGAATACAAATCTTACATCCTGTAGTATGACTCTCCACCTGGATTTATACCATGTTTTCTTATAACCAGACTCAAGTCATATGTTTCAGCAAGAATTCCATAGATGTGATACTGTGCACTTCTCAGTTCATCACATCAAGGAGAATGATATCAAGCTGTCCCACCACTGGTGAAGTCAGCCTTGGTGACTTGGTCATGTTGGTCCTATCTGCCATGTTTCTTTACTGTAAAGTTACCAATTTACTCTTTGTAATGAATAAGTAGAGAGATACTTTGAGATACTATTAACACACAGTTTTTACACTAACTTTAAACCTCTGTCCTCCAATTTTTCCTTGCACTAACTTCTTCTGCCTGAAATGGTAATGTTCTATTTCCATGATTATTTCGATGTCATTCTGCAAAGGTGAGCTTTCTCTTCTCCCCTGTTAATTGGTTTATATTACATTAGACTTGTAATCCCTTACCATCAATTTTATTCTGATACTCAGATCATCCCAAATTTGGCAGTGGAACCCTTTTCAGCTTGACTCCTGCTTCCTTTTGACATGTCTCCATCATCCTCTGAGCATTTTTTGAGCATTATTATTTGGCAAATAGACTCATCAATGTTTCTTGCTCCATGTTTGGAATCAGTTATTTCTCCAGAGAGCCCTGGATCTTTCTACTAGAGGACAGCCATCTATAGGGCAAGATCTGGGCCCTCACTATATCCTTTGCTACTGAGTAATCTTTTAGAAGCTCTTATCAGACAAAGCTAGGAAATATATATATGTACTTATTACAAATACATATACACCTATAACTTTACATATTAAATGACCATGAGTTCATAATGATACCTTTAGTTGCAGTACTATACCACAGTGTTTCTCTAGCCTTTTCTTTACCATGTTTGTAAATCCTTCTCCAACAGTGGTTCATGTTATGCTCTGTATATTTACTTATTTGCTCACCGTAACCAATCTCTACCGTTCTAGTATAAGCATACTAGCCATCTTTATTCTTTGCCAACTTTTTCACCCAACATTCTGCCTTATTGGATGCTAGTGACACATTGGTGACATGGTTCTGATAATTATGGGATTCATCCTCAAGTTTTCTATGTATGGCCCAGTCTCTATAGGGACCCACCCCATGATTTAGCCAATCAGTATAATGACTGTCTTTAATGCATCGATCAATTGCAGTGATTGATTTAGCTATACATGACCTAAGAACTAGACTTAAGTGATCTTAAATTGTGATTGACCTAAATAATAAACCCAGTTCTTAAGCTTGAGAGTGTTCTGGAGGTGGCAGAGAATAGGAATAACCTGTGGTCTCCTTGTCCCTTAAGTAGATTGTATGAAGAGCTTCTGACTTCCTTCTAGAGAAATGATTTACATTACTTGTTAACAGTGGGTACCTTTTAAAACAAAACAAAAAAACTTGTGCACATTGTCAGTGTTAATGTTTGTTTACTGTACAGTTATTCTGAACAATGAAATTGTTTGGATTAATGCAACAAATTTAAGTTTGGGGTTACAGCAACAGGTTTTTTTAGCTTGTTTTTGTTTTTTGATTTGCCAGAGTGGGTGTGTGCTCACCAGAGGGGAGGGAAGAGAAAGCACCCTCTACAGGGCATGGTCATATTTTCAATCCCTTCTCCTCCATTTCTCCCTCCTTTTGGGATTATTTTTTATTTTTATTTTTTTGTCTCACACCCACAAACACATTTTCTCCAAGCCTCTCAATCTGGGACTCAGACTTTTTGTTTTTTGATTTGCCAGAGTGGGTGTGTGCTCACCAGAGGGGAGGGAAGAGAAAGCACCCTCTACAGGGCATGGTCATATTTTCAATCCCTTCTCCTCCATTTCTCCCTCCTTTTGGGATTATTTTTTATTTTTATTTTTTTGTCTCACACCCACAAACACATTTTCTCCAAGCCTCTCAATCTGGGACTCAGACCTCGTGATCACAGCACGTATTCTCCAAGCCTCTCAATCTGGGACTCAGACCTCGTGATCAACCATGTGGAATCTAGTCACCTTAACTACCAGGCCACTGGTGGCCCTAGTTGTTTTTTTGGTTTTTGTTTTTTAATGTTAGATTTAACTTTTTTTTTAATGTCAGACTGAATATCTGGTATATTTCTATATTTGTTCTGTGTACTCACTTTTGCAAAAGCTTACCAAGGGTAATAATACATTTTATCATTGGCCCAGAAGCTCAAAGAGGGGTGATAGGGATGTGTTTATTTATATTCCTTTTTTTTTTTTTTTTTTTTTTTTTATCTTTTTAAGAGAAAATTTTCCTATAGGGCTCATGCACTCACTGGAGAAACAGAAAGAGACAGAAAGCAAGAAATCACCCACTAGGGGCTATGACCATGTCACAGTCCCTTTTCCTCTATTCTCTGGGGATCTTGGGCACACTCACATGTGCTCAGTGAGTTTTAGGTCGCCAGGGCTGAGACTCAAACTGCAGTTGACTACGTGAGCGTCCTGAAACATAACCATGACGCCATCTGTTGGTCCCAACATTCCTTTTTATAAATAGGGCTATAGGTAAGCATTTAAAACTGAATTAAATTTAAAAACTTTCTATAGAACTTATGTCTTTTCTCAAGATGGTAAGCTAGCATGGAGAAACTGTAGAGGAGGAAATGTTTATTCTAAGAAGTAGCAAAAGTAAAATGATCTGTTCTGTTGTTTCCACAACTTTAGGTAGAATCAAGTTTGTGTAGGTTAAATTTGGAGGAAACTTTTTCTTTTTTTTTTTTAAGTTTAACACCCCTTTCTTCTGTTGCCTGGAGACCATGTCATACTGTAGCAGAAGTGATAATAACAGCTTGTACAAAGTGTCAGTCAGTGAAGTTCAAAGGCCCTCCTATAGTGAAATGCCAGTGAAAACAGCTACAGTAGAGTAAATGCTCTCGGGTGTTTATTCCTCTGCCCTTTCTTTCACTAAACCTCTGAATGCTAGTTGGCTGTAGCCTTTACCAGTGCTAAAGGTTTAAAGGCGAAACTCTACTTTGAGTACACATCTGATGGAGTAGCTATAAAACAGAGTAACCAATAGGAGTTATTTGATTGCTGTGCCGTTTTGTTATTTTTTTCATTCTTTCTGTCCTTGGATTTCTAGGCAACACCTGAGCGCCTCATCATGCATTTAATAGAAGAGCATTCTATTGTGGACCCAACTTATATAGAAGATTTCCTATTAACTTACAGGACATTTCTTGAAAGTCCTTTAGATGTTGGGATCAAATTGTTGGAATGGTTTAAGATCGACAGCTTAAGGGATAAGGTTGGTTTTTTAAATATAAAGAGTGGGAAAATGCCTTTTGCTTTTAAGTTTTAGTCATGAAATCTTTTGCATTGGTAGGTTGTTTCATTTTGATAATAAGATTTAGTTCCATGAAGATATTAGTTAGTATAGAAATATCTCTCCTTAGTTATGGTGTAGCATATCACGTTAAAGGTAAACATGAACCTTAAAAGGTAAAAACTGAAATAAGGGGGCTGGTAGGTGGCATGGTGGTTGAGGCACTGGACTTCCACATGGCCAATTATGGTTCAAGTCCTGGACCTGATGGCTTGCTTTCTTACCCCCCTCCTGCCATGGTCAAATTGATCATAATAATAAATTAAATTAAAATAAATAATTTTTTTTAAATGTTGAAATAAGGCTATGATATAGCTATAAATTCTAGAAACGTGATCACAGTATTTTAGAATTTTGCCAAAATATTTTGTTTTTCTCAGCATCTATAAAACATTTAAGAGTTAATTAATAATTTATAAAGGCTATTTACCAATTTTTTTTCCAAGGGGGCTTAGATTATTTTTAAGCCTCAAATAGAAATTTGTTGATTTTCCTGAGCTGCACACTCTAATTTATCTCTCTTGTGACATATTTATATCTACCTTTGAGTATTTTTATACATTAAAAATTGTTTCCTATTTTAAGTAGATTGCCTTACCTTATTTCATGGGGTATGTTTATCCATTTGATGGAAAAATTAGTAATATCTCAGCATATTGGTGGGAAATAAGTTGTTTTAAGAAGATAAAAGGTAGGATTATAAGTTATATTTTAAAGGAAATAAATTACATATAAGTAGACTGTGGAATTCTATTATTTAGGAGACCAACATTTCTAAAACTATATACTTGCCTTCCCCTCCTCTCCTGGTGTTTGGAATTACATGTAGTTAGTTTGGTTGCTGAGAAAATAAAGATATGCTTAGACATTGAACAAAAATATGATTTAGGATAACTGATATGTACAGGTAAAAGAATGGATTTGAACTAGTAACCATATATAAACTCTTAACTTTGCACCATATACAAATATTTTCTCAAAATGTTTTAAAGACCTAAATATAAGAACTAAAACTATAGTAGTCTCAGAAAAAAAGATAGGGATGAACCATAATGATCTTTGACTTGGCAGTGGATTCTTGGATACCAAAACACAAGCAGTCCAAATTAATTGGACTTCACCAAAATTCATACTTTTTCTTCATCAAAGGGACAATAACAAGAAGACAAGGCAACACGCAGAATGGGAAAGTAGATTTACAGATCATATATTTGCTAAGTATTTATTAGTATCCACAATAAATAAAGAACTCTTACGATTCAGCTGTCTAATGGTAAGCAATACAGTTTTTTGTATGGTTTTTTGTTTGTTTGTTTTTGTTTTGAGAGACATATTTGTTATAGGTCATGTGCACTTGCTGGGAGAGAGAGCACAAGAAATCACCCCTGCAAAGGGGATGGCCACACTGCAATCTCTTCTCCATTCTCCTCTCAAGATCTTCAGCACACACACACACACACACACACGTGTGCCTGGTGTGAGTTTTAAGTCACTGGGTCTGGGACTCAAACTACGGTCAAGTACATGGGAGTCCAGTGACGTAACCATTATGCTACACTCTGTTTTTTTTTTTTTTTTTTTTTTTGGAGAGGTTTTTGCTATAGGGCACGTGGGCTCGCCAGACAAAACAGAGAGAGACAGAGAGACAGAAAGCAGGAAATCACCCCCCAGGGGGATGGCCACGTCACAGTCCCTTCTCCTCCATTCTCCTCTCGGGATCTTGGGCACGTACATACACGCGCCCAGCGTGAGTTTAAGCCACCGGGCCCGGGACTCGAACCGCAGTCGACTACGTGGGAGTCCAGCAACGTAGCCATTATGCTAACTGATGGTCCCCCCACACAGTTTTTAAATAGACTAAAGATTAACTAGATATTTCTAAAAAAAAAATTTTTTTTTTGAGAGGTTTTTGCTATAGGGCGCGTGTGCTCACCAGACAGACAGAGACAGAGAGACAGAAAGTGAGAAATCACCCTCCAGGGGGGATGGCCACGCCGCAATCCTGTCTCCTCCATTCTCCTCTTGGGATCTTGAGCACTCACGCACATGTGCCCGGCGTGAGTTTTAAGCCCCCGGGTCCAGGACGTGAACCGCGGTTGACTACCTGGGAGTCCAGCGACATAGCCATTACGCTAACTGCTGGTCCCTAAAAAATTTCTTTTCTTAGCAGAGGACATATACCTTAGCCATGAGGAGAAAAAGAGAATGAACCTCCCCCCTCGTGGGCATAGTCATACACAATTCATTTTCCTCCATTTCTCCATCCTGTCAGGATTCTGAGTGCGCGTGCACATGCACATGCACACACATGTGCTTAAGAGTTAATTTTTCAGTACACTAGACCAGGATTTGAATCATAGTCAGGCACATGGGCTGAAGCTCCATATGTTCAGTGCTTTATCACTGGACTATGGAACCAGCCCCAAAGAAGATATATAAAGATATATAAATGGCCAACAAGCACATGAAAAAGGATGTTCAATGCCATTAGCCATAGGGAGATGCAAATAAAACCAGAATGAAATACTGCATACCCACAGGAATGACTTTAAAGAAAAAAAAAGAAAAGAAACATTGTCGGGGATATTGATAAATTGGACATCTGTACATGATGAGAACATGAAATGGTATAGCTAACTTCTGTGAAAAAATATTGGGTAATTCATCCGAAGCTCAAAGTTTCCATATAACCCAGCAATTCTACTCCTAGGTATAGATCCAAAAGCTGAAAACAGGCATGCAAGCAAAAATGTATACATAAATAATACCTAAATATTCATAACAGCAGTATTGACAGTAGTCAAAAGGTTGAAGCAGCCCAAATATCTGTCGTGGATTAATGAAATGTGGTATAGCCATACAATAAAATATTATTCAGCTGTAACAGGAATGAAGTTCTAATACATATTAAAACATGGTTGAACCTTGAAAACATTATACTGAAAGAGAAGCCAGATGCAAAAGACTATATATTGCATGGTTTTGTTTATGTAAAATATCTAGAATAGGCAAATAAACAGAGACAGAAAAGCAGTTTTATGGCTGTCAAGAGGGCAGAATGGAAACTGACTAGTTAATGGTGTGAGATTTTCTTTTGTTGTGATGAAAATATTCCTGAACTAGATAGTGATGGTGGGATAACATCATGAATGTAGTAAATACCACAGAAGTATGCACTATAAAATGGTTAAGGTGGGGCCAGCAGGTGGTATGGGATTAAGTTCATGTAAAGTCCCACATGGCCAACCGCAGTTCGAGTCTCAACCCGGTTGCCTGAAAAATATGCCAAGTGCATGTGCTTGTGTGCCCCAAACCCTAATAACAAAGTAGAGGAGAAGGGATCGTGGCGTGGCCATCTCCCTGAGGGGTGATTTCTCACTTTCCCTCTCTCTGTTTTTCTCTGTCTCTGATGAGTGCACCCACCCTGTGGCAAAAAAATAAAAATCTTAAATACAGAGGTTAAGATAGTGAATGTTATGTGCATTTTATCATCGTTTTTAAAAATATGACTCAGGCCAACCTATGGCACCATGGTTAAGGTGGCTGAATCTCACATGGCCAGTTGTGCAGTTTGATTCCCAAACTCGATGGCTTGAGAAACATGGCAGACACTTGTGCATGCATGCCCAAATTCCTGAAGGGAGGGAGAAATGGAAGAGAAGGGATTGTAGCATGACTGCACACCATGAGGGGATTAATTACTTTATCACTTTCCCTTTCCATCTCTCTCTGGTGATCACATAGGCCCTCTGGGATTTTTTTTTTTTTAAGTTTAGAAGGAAAAAAAAAAAAAAGATGTGACTCACATTACTTACATTTTTAGTTAAGCACATTATTTAAATAAACTTCAGTTTGTCAATTTTTAGCTTTTATGTTAATTCATGGAGCAGAGTAAACAAATCATTTTATCCCTGTGAAAATTCAGTGTTTATAATGAATACTTCAGGTTTGTTTTCATTACAATTTTGGTTAAACATGTTCTATGCCAGCAGTCCTTTATCCTTTCCAGCACGAGGGACTGGCCTCATGGAAGACAATCCCTCCACTGACAGTTGGGGGGGGGTCATTCCTGGGGTAACCCAAGTGCACCACATCCATGGTGCACCCCATTTCCACCACTACCACATTATGGTATTCAATGAAACAATCATACAACAATAGGATTTGCACTCCCATGAAAATCTAATACTGCCACTGCCCTGATAGGAGGCAGAACCCAGGCAGCAATGGAAGCGATAGGGAGTGGCTACAAACACAGATGAAGCCTCATAGGCTGCCACCCACTCCCCACTGCATGGTGACTGGTGGGATGCAGACCGGGATGATCTGTGACCTGGGTTAGGGACCTCTGTTCTGTGCCATAGAAACAGTTTTGATAACATTTTTTCTTTTTTAAAAAAAATTTTATTTATTCATTTATTTTAGTTTGACTAGAGAGAGACAGAGAGAGGGAGAGAAAGTGGGAGAGCAAGCCACCACCAGGTCCAGGACTTGAACCGTGATCTGCCATGTGGGAGGAGTGTCCAGCACCTTAACCACCACACCATCTGCTGGTCCCAATAACATTTTTTCTTAATTGTCAGAGGGCATGTATACTCACCAGAGACAGAGAAGAAAAAAGCAACTCCCAGTGGGTCATGGTTATACTATAGTCCCTTCTCCATTTCTCCGTCCTGTTGGGATTTGGGGAACACAGGCACACATGTCCAGTGTTTTTCAAGCTACTTATGCTAGGACTTGAACTGTGGTCAGCCATGTGGGATCTGACTCCCTTAGCCACTAGGCCGTGGGCCAGCCTTGATAGAGGTTTTTGATTGATAGATTGCCCATGTTTATGATATGAAGTTCACATTTTAAGACAGTGTACCCAAGGAAACAAAAGCTCAAACTAAACCATATCTTTCTATTAAAATGAAGTTTTTGTGTATGTGAGAGGAGACAAGAAGCTTATTAGCCATAAAGCTCAGTTCCCCCTTGGATGTAGAGACATGCTTTTGGAATCTACTTTTGTAGTAGAAATGCCTCTCATAACCATTTACCACCGCTTCTCTGTTTCCACAGGTGACACGGATTATATTATTATGGGTAAATAATCATTTTAATGATTTCGAAGGTGATCCAGCTATGACTCAATTTCTAGAGGAATTTGAAAAAAATCTGGAAGATACAGTAAGGCTCAAAAAAATTGATCCTCTTCAAAGTTTAGGGTCTCTTCCCCCTCTCCAGAACGCCATCCCAGAGCACTAATAGCTTTCACCTCCTGTATCATAAAGGTTCATTCTAGACTTCTGTTCATCCTCTGCTAACCCAGCTTAAACAAAAACTATGCTTCTTCTTGATTCTTCCATTTCTGTTTGAGACTAATGACATTATCTTCTAGTTACTCATGCTTATAAACACTGGTGTTATGTGTGGGTCTTCTCTTTTTCCTGGCCAAGTTGTCAGCTTAGCTGCTAAAGCCACTTTGGTCACTGATTGGGTATACACAAACTTTCTTATGGCCTTTTTCTCAGCCATCTCTTTCTCACCCACCAGGATACAGCGTCATTATTTCATTATGATTGATATGTTTTAGTAGCCTGCTCACTGGTCTTAGTTCTAGTGTCTCTTCTAAGAGATCTGTGGAACCAAAAGATTGTTTGTAAACCACAAATGTGATGAATACTACTTTTTGCCAGTAATATATATTTTCCAGCAAAGTAATTCCTCACCCACGTATTCAGGTCCCTCATTTACCTTTTCAGCTTTTCTCCTGTGCACCCCAGATTATAGCCTAACCAGACTATTTTATAGTCTTTGCCAGTTCTGGGTTTCAGACCATGTGGGAATTCTCTTCTCCCAATTCTGCTAGTTGAAACTCTAACCTTGAGTGTGTATCTTATATATCAAATCTACATTAAGACTTTCTAGGTCTCCCTTGTGCATGTAATTTTACCTTTTCTAAATACACGGTACTTAAGATAATTCCCTCAGTATCCTCTTAACTTCCACAGTAATTATTCATAAATCGTTCGATGCTATTAGATGTAAAACTGAGCTGCAGCTAGGTTGTCTACTCCAAGGAACTTGAAATTTCAGGAAATAGTAATGCAGCGTAGTGGTTTAAGGGAGTCACATTGCCTGAGTTAAGATACCAGAGCTTCACCATTTGCTAGATCTGTGACTTGAACAAGTCCCCTAATCTTTTACATCTCAGTTGTCTTATTTGTAAAGATGGTATTCCCTCGTGTATTCAGATTGTTAAGAGGAAAATAATGAACTGATGATCATAACATTCTGAAATCAAAACCTGGCACAGTACAAATGCTCAAGAATCGTAGTACTCAGAGTATAAATGGATCGAGTTGAACAAAGATGGGGAAATTGACAGGCATGGTCCCTTTCTTTACCCCTTGGTTCATAAAGACTTCTCAGCGCATCTGCTCTATGGAGAGTGGGATTGAGAAGCTTCATTAAAGGGCCATAAAGGTTGACCATCATCATTTGGTTCTTGTGATGGTAATTTTGCAGCTATTCAAGAGACATTGGAATATAGAAACTGCCTTACATCGTCAGGATTTTTTTTCCAGCAGTCAGTCATCAGGTATTTAATTAATCCTTTTTTTATACTCCATGGTGTTATATAAGATCAGGAGAAGTATAACACTTGGTCTCTGTGCTGGAAATAAAAAAAAAAAGCTGCTTCATTTGGACATGAGATTTACACCTATTATACTATTTGAGCATAATTGAATATTAAACTGGTGTTAGAACCTAGAATTAGGATATTACCGAGTTTAGAAAGAGCTAAAATAATGTAAGAAGTCTTTCCTGGGCGAGGTGGAGATTTGACTATTTCTTTGAACATTAGACAGTATTTGGAAAAATTATTCAAGACCTTCAGGGTTTTGAATAAGAAGTTTAAAAGGATTCTGGTTTTATGTAACACCCAGGAGATAAGCAGGAGAGGAGTAGTGGGTATATTAGGAAGAGATGTAATGTTTTGTCATCCCTGTGACATGAGACATCAGTTTAAAATCTTTTCTAAACTGATTATGTAAGGTGTTTAAAATTCATATGAAGAAGTCTTATTCTTGAGAGTGCTCTGGGGTGGAAGTGCCACCTCCTTCCACTTTATCTTCTCTGACTTAATTGTTTTATATGCTTCGTCTTTGTAATTCTGATCCTAATGATTTAGGTGGTTTTTTTAAGCCTATAGGAATAGACACATTCATACATATTTCACCCTTTTCTACTTTACAGAAAATGAACGGTCATCTCCGGTTATTGAATATTGCCTGTGCTGCAAAGGCTAAATGGAGGCAGGTTGTGCTGCAAAAAGCCGCCCGTGAGTCTCCTCTGCGTTTCAGCCTTAATGGAGGAAGTGAAAAAGGATTTGGTATTTTTGTTGAAGGAGTAGAACCTGGTAGCAAAGCTGCTGATGCAGGACTGAAACGTGGTGATCAGGTAACAAACAGCCAACCACTTAGTGTAACATTTTCGTATTAGTAGTATGAATGCTACTTTTGTTCTTACCTGATATTTCTCTGAATAAGCATGATCAAATTAAGAAAATATTTTTCTGAGCCTCTTAAGAGTTTTTTAAAAGACCACTTATGGGGACCAGCAGATAGCATAATGGCTACATTGCTGGACTCCCATGTAGTTGATTGCGGTTCAAGTCCTAGACCTGGCAGCTTAAACTCACGCCAGGCGCATGTGTGTGTGTGCCCAAGATCCCAAGAGGAGAGTGGAAGAGAAGGGATTGCAGCATGTCCATCACCCCTGGGCTGATTTCTTGCTTTCTGTCTCTCTGTCTCTCTGGTATGCACATGTGCCCTATAGCAAAAACCTCTCCAAAAAATAAATAAATAAACAAATAAATAAATAAATAACAGACCGTTTATTTTAAGAATATATTTGTCATGTACTTAACTACTTTTTATGGAAAATTTGATACAGTATAACCAGACATAGGCTAGTCTGCTAGGCCCTGTCAGCATGACCTCCTTCAAATTGGGTCTGCCCTTCTCCTAAGGATTAGGAAACCATGTTAGCTGGCAACTTCTGAATACTCCAGAAAGTTTTGAAAGAGGGGGCATTTCTACCTTATTGCACTCTGAAATATAAATGGCTAGAGATGACTATTAAGTGGTGATAGCAGCTTAAATAATGTTCATATGGTAACAACTACCTCCATAAGTAGAGTGTGCCAGAGAATAGACGAACAGAAACAGTGGGAGGAATTTGGTGGTGGTTTATTCTTTTCACATAGGCATTAGGTAACTATAGAGCAGCCTGTTTCAAAATGTGGTTTCCTGACATTGTTACATCAAAAATGCAATTCCCAGGCTTACCTCAATCCTATCAGTCATACTCTCAAGCAGTGAGAATCTGTATATTCAACAGAATTATCTAGATAATTCTCATGCACACCAAAAAGTGTTTTTTCAAATTTAATCATCACCATCACTTGGGAACCTTCCTGTCATTAAAAACTTTGTTCATTAATTTAAAATGTGGCTTTATTTTACTTGATTGTTTTTGTTTTTGTTTGAGAGAGATTTTTGCTATGGGGTGTGTGCACTCGCCAGACAGAGAGAGAGAAAGCAAGAAGTCACCCCCCAAGGGTGATGGCACATCACAATCCCTTCTCCATTCTCCTCTTGGGATCTTGGACATGCACACACATGTGCCTGGCATGAGTTTTAAGCTGCCAGGTTCGGGACTTGAACCACAGTTGACTACATTGGAGTCCAGCAACATGACCATTGTACCATTTGCTGGTCCAGCTTTATTTTGCTTTTAACTGAGCCATAGTATTATTTTTAAATTTATAAGGGCATCACGTAATAAAAGGTTTTACACTTTAGAACAGTGAATGATTTTGCCACCAATGGAATCTTGACTTTACATTGTGTGTATTACTGTTGGCATGCAGTGGTTAGAGGCCGTAGATGCTGTTAAACAGCTCATGATGCCCAGAATAGCCCCTGTGAACAAGAGATTTATCTGGCTCAAACTGGCAATAGTGTAAGGGATTTAAAAATTCTGAAATAAAGTAGTAATAATCATCTTCAATTTTAATCATTGAAACATTTATACCTGCTTTGCTTATTTCACTGACCACCTTCTTTTCATCTAACTATAGATGTCGCTTTGATTCATTTTACACTTCAGTACCTCTTCTAATTTTTTTTTACCAAAATGGTACTGTGGTACTATAGTTTTATGTATATTTACCTTTCTGAAGATCCTTTTATTTGGTTAACCCTAAGTTTTCCCCTGAATGTTGAGATCACAGAAAAGTCTCACATTATCTTAGCATTGCCCAAGAGATGTTCATACCAACCTTTATTTTTTTGTAGCCACTTTTTCTGCCACCGTGATATTTATACAAAATTCCTTAATTTCTACCCTTGAACAAAAATTCCACTGAGTTATTAAAAAGTGTATCTTTTTGTTATCTTTGTGTGGTACTAGATGTGCCATTTTAGTTACTATGTAGACACAAGTCTTTTTTTCAACTCTGGGACTTTTACTAATGTAGAATCTTTCTCTGTTTCTTTCTTTCCCACTATTTTAACTCTTATCCTTTTGGAATTCTTTTTGAAATGGATTCCCTAGATCTGTTTTCTTTTCTTTTCCTTTTTCTTTTTTTTTTTTTAAATTATTTACTTATTCATTCATTCATTTATTTTAATTTGACCAAAGAAAGACAGAGAGAGAAAGACAGGGAAAAGGAGAAAGCAAGCCACCAAGTCTGGGACTCGAATCATGGTTAGCTATGTGGGAGTGTCCAGCCCCTTAACCACCATGCCACCTGCTAGTGCCCCTTGATTTGTTTTATATGCTGCCTATTTTTTATACATTATGTTTATGCCTTTATCCTTTTCCCTGAGATACTTTTTCTCTCTCTTTTTTTTTTTAAAGAGATTTTTTGCTATAGGCCACATGTACCTGTCAGAGACAGAGACAGAGAGAGAGAGAGAAAGACAAAGTGAATGTGAGAAATTAGCCTCCAGGGGATAACCACACCACAGTTTCTTCTTTTCCATTCTTCTCTTTGGCTTTTGGGCACGCATACACACAGGCCTGGGACTTGGAGGCCGCTGGACCTGGAATGCTAACCGTGATCAACCGTGTGAGAATTCAGTGCTTCACACTGTACAACCTTCTGGCCCTGGGATCAAGTACTTTTCTAAATAAGCCTTTTTTTGTTTACTTTTTTGCCATAGGGTACGTGCACCCACTAGAGAGATAGTGAGGGGAAGTTAGAAATTACCCTGTGGAGGGACTGGCTTACTGCATATTCCCTTCTTCACTCTCCTGCTGGGATTTTGGGTACACATGTTTATGCACCCGATACGATTTTCAGGCTGCCAGATCTGGGACTCAAACCATGATTAGCTTTGTAAGAGTCCAGTGCTTTAACCACCATACCATCTGTTGGCCCCTGAATAAGTTTCTTAATTCTGAGGTACAGCCAAATTTGGGCAGCCCTCCTGTGAAAGATTCGCAGTGGTTACATGGAACAAGAACCCATCTCAATTTTCTTTCTTTCTGTTTGGCTATCTAATTCAATCAGTAGTGGGAATTGATAGTAAATATATTTACAGTACTTCTTTTCAATTAAGTATCTCTCTGAAATGTAATAAATTTACATTAGGATTTTTTTTACTAAAATTTGTGTATACATACACAAGTAATAGTTTTTATGAGCTAATCTAACATGATTAGAATGTTTCCTTCATATAGAAACCATCCTGCATGCTTTTCTGATTTCTTTAATATCCAAGAGGAGATGCACTTTTATTTATTTATGAATGTATGTGCTACAGGGTGTATGGGCCTGACAGAAAGGAGAAAACACATCTCCACGGAAGATGGCCATACCACAATACCTTCTCTATCTTGATCCTCTTTTGGGATTTTAGTTAGGCAATACACACACATCTGTGCCCAGTGTGTCTCAAACCACTGGGGCCAGGGCTAGAACCACGGGTTGTCCATGTGGGATCCCGCTGCCTTAACCACCAGGCCATAGAGCCGGCCCTGGAATGAACTTTTTAAAAATATGTTTATAGGGTCCATCAGGTGGTGTGGTGGTTAAGGCACTGGATTTCTGCATAGCCAACCATGATTCAAGTCTCAGATGTGGTAGCTTGTTTTCTCTCACTCTCTCTGTTGAGGGCACTTGCCCTGTTGTAAATTTAAATAAAAGTAGTAATAATAATAATTTTTAAGAGAGATTTTTGCTATAGATCATGTGCACTTGCCAGAGAGACAGAAAGTGAGAAATCACCCCCCAAGGGGGATGGCTATCCTTCAATCTGGAGATTTGGGGCATACACACACACGTGCCCAGTATGAGTTTCAAGCCGCCAGATCCGGGACTTGAACCATAGTTGGCCTTGTGGGTGTCCTGTTATGTAACTATTACTTCATCTTCTGGTTCCAATAAATTAAAAAAAAAATTTAATATATTTATAGTAGAAAATATGGGGAATATAACAATAAAACAAAAACAAACAGCAACCTAACTTCTCACAGAGATAATCATTGGTTACATATGAGTGTATTTTATTTAAGTTCCATTTTATTTTTTACTATTAAACTTTTAAGGTTGTAGATGTAACTAATACTGTTTCTGTCTTAATTTTGTATTTTTCAAATACATTTGTTTTAAGATAATGGAAGTAAATGGACAAAACTTTGAGAATATTACATTTGTGAAAGCCCTTGAAATTCTGAGGAACAACACTCATCTTGCGCTTACTGTAAAGACCAACATTTTTGGTGAGTTTTTGTAAAAACTGAACTTTGTTTTTGTTTTTGGTGATAGTAGAGAAAAGTCATTTTACAATGAGAGGGAAGATAGTAAAATGTAAACTTTTTTTTGTCATAGCTTTGACCTGTTTTTAGGATTTCCAGTGTGTATTTTCTAGGATTTTATTTTCTATATTTTCTAGGATTTTCATTATTTTGATATCTTAGTTTTAAAATAGGTATACAACTACATTGAGTCAGTGTTTTATGAAATGTCTATTGAGCATCTGTTGAAACTAAGAATAACCTAAATAAATCCTAGAAATCATAATTAGACTCTCCCTTTCCTGCATAAATGTACAGTCTACTTCTAATCTTCAGGCTAGCTTTCTGAATTTTATGAATGGCAGATTTCCTGTTTTGTATAAATAGATTGGGTATTTTATCAGTGAATTACAATTTTCTGATAACTACACAGACTACCTTTCTATATGAAACTATTGATTATAGTGTCTGAATTGTGTTAATTGTGCTGTTACTTGAATAAAGCAAGGACTAAGGTTGTACTTACAGAAAAGATTTACTGTCACTTGGTTTCATTAGACATCTTAGGATTTTCACTGAAATTCTGAGAAGGGCAACAGTTTTTACTATTGCTTTACTAGTACAGCAGTTGGAAACTAGAAAAGAAAATGTGAGGGCCCTTATGATGTAGGGAGATGAAAAATTCCTCTAGGTTGTTGAGGTTGCAGTTTAAGAATAATAGTTGACTTTAAAAACTATGCCTATAGAAAGAAAGATGAGTTTTATTTTTTTCACTTGGCTCTTCCTTATACTGTGTTTAGTCATAATGAAAAAGGAAACTTGATATTTTTCCTCTTTTTATTTGAGTCCCTTTGGCTGAATTACATCATGTTAAACCCAGTATGTAACTATTTATTGGCAATTTCCTAATATATTACTTTAGCGTAGAATAAGTGTATTTTTACAATTATACTTATATACTTAGATTTCCTGGAGTTTGAACTAGTATCTAGAAATGATAACTTTTAGATTAAATTAAAGGGTTTCCAATTCTGAAAAATAGGGAAGTAAAGATTCTCTGTCAGTTTGGACACGTTACTTAGTGTCTCCAAGTTTTAGTTCCTCCAGCCCTATTTCATAGGGCTCTTAAAAGTACTTAAAACTTTATTTTAAATTTACATATTTTTCCCATGAGAGAGAGAGATCCCCATAGGATCTTCACATCACAGTCCACTCCCAGTCTCAGCCAGCATAGATCATGGGCTTGCATATGCCCACCAAGGTGACCAGGGAAGTCCCAGGATGCAAAGCTGGGATCTGTCCCAGCTGGATTGGGTTGCATTACTGCTACACCGTTATCTGTCTCCAGATCTAATACTTACTAACCTTTTGTGCCTGTCATATAATAATTACCTAATATAAAATATTACAACGTATAAAAAATGTAGAGAAGATAATAATACAGCCATTTTTTTTTCCTGAAAAAGAACTTTATTTCCCAAAACAAATAAAAATTAATTAGAAGAGTACCATTGTTGTGTGTGGAGGAGGTGGAATGCAGATAGTATAATATCTTGGTTAACAACATGGAACCTGGAAGACAGAAAAAGTAGGTGTGTAGGATGCAAAAAGCAGGGAAGCCATAGCCTCAGAACTGTTTCAGGAGTGAGAAAATTGCCCAAAAGATCCCTAGATTAGATATGACAGAGGGGAGAAGTTATGAGATGCTCTAATGCACCAGTCAATATTTTGTTCCTTACCCTAGTTAAAATGCAGTCAGCATTTGGTGATAATGATGTCCAAACAAGGTCCTGGTTAACTCTGGCATTACCATGAAGAAACACTTGCACAGTTAAGTCCTCCTACATGGAACTTGCAGACAAAACAGCTAATAAAAGAATAGCCGTGACCAGAGACCATTTCTTAAGATAATACCAGATGAGAGACCAGCAGGTGGCATGGTGGTTAAGGGCAGTGGACTCCCCCGTGGCTGACCATGGTTCGAGTCCTGGACTTGGTGACTTGCTTTCTCACTTTCCATCTCTCTCACACTCTCTCACTCTATCCCTCTCTGGTCAAACTAAAATAAATTAATTAAATTAAATAATTCTTTTAAAAAGAAAAAAAATAATACCAAACAAAACCATACTTGACCATTTGTAATTCTTAAAACTGACAGCCAGGGTTCTCCAAGCACAAAGAGGACCAAAATCATTGAGGGTAGAGACAGAATGTTAAGAAGCAATCTTACACATTCTGAAGAAAATAGTGAGGGAAGGAAAAACATTTTTTCTAGACTTTTGCTTAATGCGATTGAAAAAAAAAATCATCCCTCAAAACAAATAGAATGTTAGGAAAAAGGAAACAATGAGAAAGAATTTTAATTCTTAAAAAGACTTAAAATACGGTAGCCAAGTTAAGAACATTCAACAAAAGTAGATAATAAAGTTGAGGAAGTCTCTCATACTATAAAACAAAAAGACAAAGTAAAACTGAATGCTCTTCCAGAAGATAAAAGAAAACATGAGAAAATATTTAAGTAATAATAGTAGAGACTATTTCAGAGTTAAAGAAAGATGTGACTCATCTAATTTCAAAGGACTAATTATGATCTGGTTGAAATGAGTTTTTAAATCTTGTGTCAACCTCAGTATTTTGTGTGTGTGATAGAAAGCACATACATACATATAGATAGATAGATAGATAAATAGATAGATGGATGCACATGAGAGAGAGAGAAAAAAACAATTCCTCAATGGTCTGATCATGCTATAATCTCCTTTTCCTCAGTCTTCCACCTCTTCCCCAGTCTTCTACCTCTTCAGGATCCTGGTTGCCTGCTTATACACATGCCAGGCATGTTTCAGGTCCACGGGGTTAGGGATCTGAACTACGGTGGGCCATGTGGCTTCCAGCACTGTAATTCAACATGCTGTAGAGGCCGGCCATTTTTCTTTTCCCACTTCAATATCGACTGAAGACTACTAAAAGAGTTACAGTAAATATATAAAATAACTATAAATAAACAAAAATCCAGAAAAATAGTGAACTCTGTGATGTAGAACAGAGAGGAAATCAGACTTTAAAGAGGTGAATGAAAGCCATATCTGTCCTGGGACAGTTACCACTACAGAAAAGGCAGCTGTGAAACAGCCTCCTTGACAGTTGACTTCCAGGAAAAACTAAAATGGTTGGAGTCCTGCATTTACTAGGACCACATATTCTAGATGTGTTAAATCCTTCTCCCACTCCTGGAACAGTACCCCAAAGAGATGTCTCTTTTTTTTCCAGGGCCATTTTCCCATCTATAGAATGTAGCTGAGAGAAGGAGCTGCTTCAGAAATTCACAGGTTTGTAGTTTATAGTGCCTACCAAAGACATCTCTTTTGAGTACTGTTCCAGGAGTGGGAAATATGTGCACACATCCAGAATACTTGCTTCTGGCAATGGTAGAACTCCAACTATTTTAACTTTGCCTATAAGTCAGTTGTTAAAGAGGCTGTCTCGGGACCAATAGGTGGCATGGTGGTTAAGGTGCTAGACCCCCACATGGCAGATCAGACTTCAAGTCCCAGACCTGACAGCTTGCTTTTTCACATTCTCTATCTCTCTCTGGTTAAATTTTAAAATAATAAATAAAATAAATAAATCTTTGGGGGGAAAAAAAAGGCCATTTCTCAGTTTTTTCTGGAGTGGTAAATGTCGCAGAACACATTAGGGCCTTCCAGAAAGCTCTTAACATAAAAATCTTTGTCAGAATTGCTATTTTGAAAGATTCATTCTGAAATGAATGTAGGCAGATTCTAAGATTAGAACATGCTAACAGCAACCTATTGTTTCTAAAAATAATTTTTCAAAAACAGACTAGAACAAAAAAAGATTATAAAAAGATTATGAGGCACTATTTAAAGTCAGTATGAAGGCCGGATTATGTGTCAGAGGTAAAATATGACATTCTCTAAGGCAGACCCACATAGGAGAGTTGTTGGTTCAAGTTCAGAAACCTCTCTAAGTGTACCACGCACGTGTGTGCAGAAGGGCCGAGGGTAGATCTTGGTATCAGGACCCCGTTGGGAGTTCTATATGTCTCTCTCTTTCTCTTTCACTCTTACTCATGGGATGAATAAATGAGCTTAGAAAGAAAAATTAGTATGAATCAGAATCAACAGAAAGAGTGGCATGGTGGGGCCAGCAGGTGGTGGTGTGGTTAAGGGCACTGGACTTCCACGTGACTGACCATGGTTCAAGTCCTGGGCCTGGCAGCTTGTTTTTTCACTTTCTTCCTTTCCCTCCCTCCCTCCCTCTCTCTGACCCTCTCTGGTCAAATTTAAATTAGTTAACTAATTAATTAAGTTAAATAAAGTAATTCTATTAAAAGAAAAGAAAAAAGAAAGAGAGGTATGGATACTCCAGAATATCCAAGCTAGGAAGTTACTATTGTATGTCCATAAAGATAAAAATCAAATTAAGTGTTACAGTTTTGGGTAAAATCAAATAAACACGTACCATCTTTCATCTCTGCTGAACTTAATAGTAAAACCTATTAAGACAGAATCATGACTCACCTACTTGAGAAATTTAAGAAGCTGGTAGCAACAGGCAGATCATGGAAGGACAATAATTCAAAGTCCACCACCAGCAGTGAGTTTACTTTTTTTTTTCCTTCAGTAGCCCTCTGTTCTGCCTCACTCTTCAGTGGAACTGTGGCTCTGAGAGGACAGAGCAATCTTACTTTTTCTTCTCTCACTCTCTGTTTTCCTGCCATTTAGCTCTTAGGCTTTGTAATTCTTTCTGAACCAAAAACAGGAGACTTAAGGAACCAAGGGGAACAGTTGATAGATAGTAGAGACAACCCCAGCAAGTTGATACTCTTAACAGAAAATTCAGATACCTCACCATAGCATTTTCTGGCCTCTTCTTTACCTTATTGCTAGTCATTTTTATTTTCCTTCTAACACAGGTACTTTGAACTTGAGATTTTCCTTTACCTAGAATTATTACTTCTTTTCCTTCTTTGCCTAGTTAAAAATCTCATCTTTCTGGTCTCTTACAAAGTGATTTACTTAGAGTAGATCGCTCTTTTCCTACTGTGTTCCTCAGTGTTTTCTGTGGACTCTGTTTCTTTAGACTGTCTCTAAGTTCCACAGCAGGAGGAATATGCAAACGTTGAATACAGTGCCTAACATATATTCATAAGACAGGAAATATTTTTTGAGTGGCCTAATAGCTTGATTTTAGCGTGAAGAAATATTTTTACCTTTACCAAGTTTTTTTAAAGAATTTTTTAATTAACTTTTTAAATTTATTTACTTATTTTAATTTAACGGTGGGGGGTAGGGAGAAAGAAAGAGAGAAAGAAAGCCACCAAGTCTGGGACTCAAGCTGGTCGGCCATGTGCGAGTCCAGTGCCCTTAACCACCACTCCATTTGCCAGCAGCCCCTTTACCAAGGTGGATGTGTTTTAAAATAAAGTGAAATTTTAAAATTAGAAACTGAAAGGAGCTGGGCCATCCAGTGGCATGGTGGTTAAGGTGGCTGGATCTCACATGGTCAGCTGTGCTATTCAAGTCCCAAATACAGTGGCTTGGAAAACAGGCCAGGTGTGTGTGTGTGCATGCATGCCCAAAAATTCCAGAGGAGAATGAAGAGTAGAGCTGGCGGGATAGTCATCCCCCCAGGAGGTGATTTCTCATTTTCCCTCTATCTCTCTCCAGTGAGCAGATGTGCCCTATAGCAAAAATTTACCCAAAAAAGAAAAGAAAGAAACTGAAAGGAAATTACTCTATTTAGTAGAGTATCTTTGAAAGGTAACTCCTAAAGATCACCATTGTTTTGAAAACAATGTGCTTTACATAAGTTTGCACTGTGATTTGGAAATGTGATCTCTTCTGGTTCAAACCCTTAAAACAGTCGAGATTTGAGATTTTATAATCAAATACCAAGCTATTCATGTAATTCAATTCTTAAAGGTGGTTCAGTCTTACATGTATTTAAATTGTTTGATGTTGTGGGAAACTCTTTTATCCCCAAAACAGTAAAAAAGATCCCCATTCTCTGTGATTGGAATTTATACAGTTCACAGCTTATCTTTTATAGAGGTATGGAGTATATTGTTTCATAGCTGTATTAAGAAGCCAAGTGTTTGGTTCTACAGCTCATGTGGCTGAAGACCTTTAAGTCTATTCTGAATAACATGCAGTTACCATTTCTTTCTCTTTAATTCAGACTTCTCCAGGTATGTGACTTCTCAGGAAAAAGTTACCTACTTTAGAATGTCTCTTTTTTATTAAGAATTATTTATTTAAATTTATTTATTATCATGCTTTTTGTTTGTTTGTTTTAATTTGCTATAGGGAACATGCACTCACCAGAGAGACACAGAGAGAGAGAGAAAGTAAGTTACCAGTTCCAGGATAGAACTGTGGTCAGCTACATGGGAGTCTAGCACCTCAACCACCACGCCACTTGCTGGCCCCACATGTACCTTTTTTAATGTGTTTTCTTTTTCTAGCATCTCATCTCATTTAAGAATATATGTAAAGTGAAAATGGCCCTCAAGAACTTTTCATGCCATTATTTAAACAAAAATAGACGATATAAATTTTCCTAACTGAAAAAGAGACCTTCCTAATAACATCTAGATGTATAATGTCATACAGACATATCTTTCCTTTACCTGATCCCTAGGAAATGTAGCTTACTCACAAGGTGAAAATCACGTCTAAACAAAAAGATTGCTAGACAGAAATTCCCCAAACACCCCTATTCCTTTATCAAAGATGAAGTAATTTACCAGACTTAGAGTTGATAAACAGCTGTCTTAAAATACGATTAATTATTTACTAAAATATGATTGATTACTCAATGTTGTGAATATTTATTAGCTGTTTTATTGAGTTGGTATAAGTCTTATAAATGGGACCTTGTGGAAATTCTGAACTAACAAGTTTAGTACTATTTGTTTCTGGTGAAAAGGTCTAGCAAATCTCTTCTCATTTTTTGAATCTTTGTAGTAGCTAACTCTTAACTCTTTATATTATCATGGTAAGTAGTGATGTCAATAACAGAACTAAGTGTGTTCCTGTAAAGTTAGTTGATTAGCAATTATATTGTCTATAACCTCTGGATTTTTCAAACTGACTGATATCCCTTTCACTTCCTTCCCCTATTTCCCTCACTGACTTCCTTTTATCACTGTTGGGCAATAAATGTACAGTCAAGTGTAAGAAGTGAAGAAAAAAGTAGGTATAGCTAATAAATAAAGGAAAGATATGTATTTGATAATATTTAATTAAATGGGTCTGTGAGAGGCTAATAATAGAAAGCAATTGTATTCTTAAAATTTGTTGTTGGTGTAAAAACTGTAACGAGAAGGAAAGAAATGACACGTTTGTTTATTTCCACAGTGTTCAAAGAACTCCTTAGTAGGACTGAACAAGAGAAATCTGGTGTCCCTCATATTCCCAAAATTGCTGAAAAGAAAAGTAATCGCCACTCAATCCAGGATGTACCAGCAGATATTGACCAGACATCACAAGAGAAAGGAAATAAGAAAGTTAAAGCAAATACTGTTTCAGGCGGGAGAAACAAAATCAGGAAAATTTTGGATAAAACACGATTTAGTATCTTGCCTCCAAAATTATTTAGGTAGGTAATACCAATTTCAGCCAAGTAAGAATGTTCATGTTGACTATAAAGTTTTTATTATCGGGAAAGGAGGTTTAGTTTCATTTGACTTGTTATATAACTAATACATCATAAAATCTCCAAGCAATACACAAATAAGAATAAATTCTAAACATCCTTAACTTCAATGAAATTAATGCTATTAGATTATATAATTTTCCATTAGCATTATTTTGAATTTTAAGAGAGGCAGTTTTATGAAATCTGTTTTTATTTATTTTTGGTACAATATCAGTTTTCTGATCTACGTATTTGGATACCTTAAATCTTGAGATACATTTGTTGCTACCAGATGGGTTTTTTTTTTTTTTTTGATGTTTTGTTTTGTTTTGTTTTAATCATCTTTCCTTTATTGTACTGTTTATTCTCTCTCTGAACTCTAAAATTGAACTTATCTTTTTTAAGTTTTTGCAATAAGGCATGCATGTATGCTTGCCAGAGAGAGACAGAGGGAAAGTGAGAAATCTCTCTTGCCCCCAACCTCCCTTAGGGGATGGCTACATCACAATTTCTTCTCTGTTCTCCTCTGAGGATTTTGGGCACATGCACACAAACCCAGTCTGATTTTTAAGCAGCCAGGTCTGGGGTTCAAACTGCAGTTAGTCATATGGAAGTCCAGCACCTTAATCAAATCTGTTTTCTATTTCTAAAATGGGATCTCACCCAAACTGAGTAATAAAGATTTTAAATGTAAATTTAAGTCTGTAAAATACTGATGAAATTAATCATTGAAATGTCAGGATTGAGAATGACTCTGGTATATATTATTATTATTATTATTATGTGTATATTTTACAGTATCAGTTTCCTAAAGCAGTTACAAAAGTTCAATTAATATTTGTCAAATAAATTAAGATAATGAGTTAGTGAAAGGAAGAAAACCTATTCAATCAAAACATATTCAAAGAAAATATTTACTTGGCTCCTTTTGAATTCCTCATGCTGTGCCAGGTAGATGAACAGAAAGGGTCCCTCCTTCAGAGGAGTTTATATATCAGGAACTTTTATTCTCCACACATTTGTCATATGCTAGAGACAAAATGAGTGATGCAAATTTCTTGTTCCCTAATAGTGAATCATCTAAAAGGGAAAACAGCTACAACCATGGTAGCATATGCTGCTTGATACTGCTACTTGACAAGCCAAGGTCACATGAGAGGCCTGGGTTTAATTTCTAGCCCACTAAAATAAGGCATGGTGGGTCACACCGGTCGTCCTAGCTACTTAGGAGTCTAAGGCAGGAGAATTGCAAGTTCACCACCACCGGTGTATACAACCTGGTGAGACCTTGTCTGAAAGATCTGGGCATGATGGTGTGTACATACCTGAGGTGCAGGGGATACCGATGCAGGAGAATCACAGTGTGGTGAGATTCTATGAGTAATGAATGAAGTGGTCGGTTATGAAGGAGTTTGAATACTATGCTGCATATGTAGATTTCATTATATAGGGAAGGGATGTCATGGATTAAGATTTGTTTGTTTGTTTTAGAAAGATTTCTCTGGTGGCCCTGTTAGTGATTTGGGGGTTGTGGGTACAGTGCAGCGTGGCAGTTCTAGCAGAAAGACCAGTTAATAGGTAACTTAGACCTCAGTAAGCATCAACTCTCATCTTTTATGAGAACTATTTTTTTTTAGACAATATACATAAAAGTCTCAAATATTTTCTGATAAGAACATGCTCTTCCTGAGTCCTTATTTTCTGTCAGTGAAATGCATTTGCTCTTGATTTAATTAGGGACTCACAGAGGTTTGGAATCTTCAGAGCTTTATTCTTTTTTTTTTTTTGCCAAGAGAAAAAGGAAACTTTCTCTCCCTTCCCCCCCTCCAGAGGTTTTTGCTATTATGTGCGTGTGCTCTCCAGAAAGAGAGAGACAGAAAGCGAGAAATCACCCCTTGGGGGGATGGCCATATTGTAGTCCCTTCTCCATTCTCTTCTGGGATCTTGGGCATGCATACACACACACCCAGTGTGAGTTTAAGCCACCGGGTCCAGGACTCGAATTGCAGTCGACTGGGAGTCCAGCAGCATAGACATTATGCCAACTGCTGGTCCTGAAAAAGGAAAGTTTCTAAAGAGAGAGAGTTTCTAAGGGTCTGAAGCTAAAGGTGCTTCAGCCCAACCTACTGAGGAGGCATGTTGTATTGGGTTGTTGGAAAAGTCATGATGTATTTTTCTATGTTTTTCTGTGCAAAAGTGCATGGTGACTTTTCAAATGGCCCTATATTTATGGGGAGGGGGTGGAGGCGTAGGATCACAAGAATGGCAAGTACTTGGACTAGCTTACTTGCCACTGTGACCTTATCAGCCCATCTATGTTGGCTGCCAATAAAGGAGGGCTCTGGCTGGAGGATTCTGGCCAAAGTTCACTACAACCATCTCCTTATTTTCTTTTTTATTTAAAGAATTATTTTAAATTTTATTTAATAATTCATTTATTTTAATTTAACCAGAGAGACACAGAGAGAGAGAAAATGAGAAAGCAAGCCATCAGTTCCAGGACACGACCCATGCTCGGCCATGTGGGAGTGTCCAGTGCCCTAACCACCATACCACCTGCTGGTTCCCACCATCTCCTTATTTTCTGATGAGAAATTACCTAAAGGCCATTTAGGGGCTGGTCTAACATTTTCATCCTTTATCTTTTATTAAAAAAAAAAAAAAAGATGGGATGGGGGTAGAATGGGATTATGGATGATGGTCAGTCTTCTAGAGCTGCTTCATGCTGAAAAAGGGTGTGGGCCTTTAGGGCAATGGGGAGGGTGTGGGTCCTCTGGAGTAGCAAGATGTTTTCAGCCTGTTTTTGGACCAATTGTTAGATGGTGTCTAAAATGAAGCAAAGGGATTTATTCTTAATGTCACTCGTTTCTAGAAATGTTATTACTTACTCCTTTCTTGGTGACTGCTTGACTTGAGGTGAGTTGTTTGTAGAAATCATAACTTTAAGATATCAAGATTCTGGGATCAGCAGATGGCTAAATGGTATATTGCTGGACTCCCTCATGGCTTATGTGGTTTGAGTCAAGGATCTGGAGGCTTGAAACTCATTGCCAGGTGTATGTGTATGTGTCCCCAAAATCCTGAGAGAAGAGGAGATCAAGGCATGGCCATTGCCCCGAGGGGTGATTTTTCACTTTCTGTCTCTGTCTCTCTGATGAACACATGTACCCTATAGCAAAAATCTCTCTCAAAAAAAATCAATATTCTTAACTATTGAGCATACTGTAGCAAACACTGTCTGAAAAGGTTTATTCTTACAAATGGGGATTGAGTAAGATTGTTAGAGGGGCCCGCCTTCACTGAGGAGGTTGGGAACAGTTTGCAGTGACCAGAAGTCATTATGGAAAAGGGATAAAACAGGAGGACCAGAAGGTAGAGAAGAATTCACAGGGATCCTCAAGAGGTTAATGCTAACTTGTGCTTACAGAAACCCCGTAAGAGGATGGGTTTAGTTTGGAATATGAGTGTTACCTTTAACTTATTTTTACTAGTGCCATAGTTGTGTCACGTATCATCTAAAACCAGAGAATGTTGTCATTGTAACTCGCTTCAGCTCATTCCTGTCACATCCCAACAAACTATCCTCAAATTTCAGACATCTAAATTTCTCATCTCCAGGTTATCTTTTGGAAAGTGAGAATTTGATCTATCTGATTACAGTAGGAGGCATGAAATTTAGGTAGCCAGGAATAGTCAGTTGGGGGTATTCAAGCATCATTACTCTATGTTATTGTTCTCTCTCTCTTTGTATACACACACACACACACACACACACACTTATATTTGTATGAATGAAAAGTCTAACGTAAACAGTTTTATGGGAAGGGATTTTTTTAATTTAATATTTTTTATTTTATTAGTCAATAGGCATTTATTGATTTTCTTGCTCTGTGCCAACAAAGAAACTATTGGCTATAAATACAAGCATGAATAAATGCTGCACTTCAACTTCCAGAGTTCTTATTAGGGCCAGCCTGTGATCTGATGTTTACTGAGGCTGGATGCCACATGGCTAACCACACGATTTGAGTCCCAGGCCCAGCATCTTGAGAAACACACTGATTGAGTATGCATACATGGCCAAAATCCGAAATAGAAGGGAAAAGATTGTAGTGTGGCCACATCCCATGGGGACTGCTTTCTCCCTCCCTCTCTGTCTCTCTGGTGAACACATGCACAGTTTCCCTCCTCCCTGCCAAAAAAATTTAACATTAAACTACAGTGAAGTAAAAATGCTAATCATTTCAGCCATAAACATAAAATTATTTTAGAAGAAATCAAATATTTTCTGGAAACTATCCTGGAGAGAGCTAATTTGTCATTTTACCTGTCAGACTGGCCACTTAGCATTTTTGAGACTGTATGTTAAATTTCTTGACACTTAATCATTTGAACTGAATCCAGACCATTTCTTTTGTGACACAGAAAATACCATTCGTTATATATAAAGAGCTCTTAAAAATCAGCTAAGAGGGAACCAGCAGTTAGCGTAATGGCTATGTCGCTGGACTCCCATGTAGTCGACCGCGGTTCACATCCCAGACCCGGTGGCTTAAAAAAACTCACGCCGGGCGCTTGTGCGTGCGTGCCCAAGATCCCGAGAGGAGAATGGAGGAGAAGGGATTGCGGCGTGACCATCCCCCCTGGGGGGTGATTTCTCGCTTTCTGTCTCTATGTCTGTCTCTCTGTCTGTCTGTCGAGCACACGTGCCCTACAGTGAAAATCTCTCAAAAAAAAAAAAAATCAACTAAGAAAAAACAGTGAAGCTTCACTAGAAACGAGGCAAAATCAGATGTTCCATGTTGATACTAATCAGGGATAAACACTTCACACTTGTACACTGTTTCATCGAAGATTGACAGAATAGTCAAGGCCAAAATTGATAATGTGATATAGAAAATAAGCTTAGACTGTTGTCATAATATGAAATGATACAACCTTTTTATAAATTATTTTGACAG